ACAAAGACTCCATCATTTGAGAGATGCTCCATCCCTCGTGACATGCTCCATCGCTCACAGAGACTCCATCACTTGAGAGATGCTCCATTGCTCACGACATGCTCCATTGCTCACAAAGACTCCCATCACTTGAGAGATGCTCCATCCCTCGTGACATGCTCCATCGCTCACAGAGACTCCATCACTTGAGAGATGCTCCATTGCTCACGACATGCTCCATTGCTCACAAAGACTCCATCACTTGAGAGATGCTCCATCACTCGTGACATGCTCCATCACTCATTAGAGATTCTGTCACTCATGAGATGCTCCATCCCTCGTAACATGCTCCATTGCTCACAGAGACTTCCATCACTTGAGAGATGCTCCATCACTCGTGACATGCTCCATCACTCATTAGAGATTCTGTCACTCGTGAGATGCTCCATCCCTCGTGACGTGCTCCGTTGCTCACAAAGACTCCATCACTTGAGAGATGCTCCATCACTCACAGACTCCATCACTTGAGAGATGCTCCATCCCTCGTGACATGCTCCATTGCTCACAAAGACTCCATCACTTGAGAGATGCTCCATTGCTCACGACATGCTCCATTGCTCACAAAGACTCCCATCACTTGAGAGATGCTCCATCACTCGTGACATGCTCCATTGCTCACAAAGACTCCATCATTTGAGAGATGCTCCATTGCTCACGACATGCTCCATTGCTCACAAAGACTCCCATCACTTGAGAGATGCTCCATCACTCGTGACATGCTCCATTGCTCACAGAGACTTCCATCACTTGAGAGATGCTCCATCACTCGTGACATGCTCCATCACTCATTAGAGATTCTGTCACTCGTGAGATGCTCCATCCCTCGTGACGTGCTCCGTTGCTCACAAAGACTCCATCACTTGAGAGATGCTCCATCACTCACAGACTCCATCACTTGAGAGATGCTCCATCCCTCGTGACATGCTCCATCGCTCGTAGAGATCCTGTCACTCGTGAGATGCTCCATCCCTCGTAACATGCTCCATTGCTCACAGAGACTTCCATCACTTGAGAGATGCTCCATCACTCGTGACATGCTCCATCACTCGTTAGAGATTCTGTCACTCGTGAGATGCTCCATCCCTCGTGACATGCTCCGTTGCTCACAAAGACTCCATCACTTGAGAGATGCTCCATCACTCACAGACTCCATCACTTGAGAGATGCTCCATCACTCGTGACATGCTCCATCGCTTGTAGAGATTCTGTCACTCGTGAGATGCTCCATCACTCGTGATACGCTCCATCACTTGTCAGACTACACTCCACCACTCATGAGATGCACCCCATCACTCATCAGAAAACACTTCACCACTCATGAGATGCTCCACCACTTGTGAGACAACATTCAACTCACAAGATGCTCCACCACTCCTCACAGCCATTCCCATGTGGGATCACCGTGGGGAAGGGACAATGGGCTGCGTGTCCCTGCCGAGGGACAGTGTGCTGGATGCTCAGGCGTGGGCAGCCTCCTGGGATGCAGTTTGCGGAGCAGCTGGTGCAGACAGACGGTGCTTCCCATGCGCCTGCTGTGCCGGGGGCTGGCAGGACACTGACGCTCGTTTGGGATCATCTGAGCAATAGCGAACTTTTCCATCCGGCCGCCCGCAGCTCCCGCTGCACCGCCCCTGCGGCGACGGGGAGGGGATGGCCCTCGCGGGTCCCCTGGGTGCTGTGGGAAGCGCTGGCTCCTCGGCTGCGCACAGAGGAGTCGCACACGGTTCTGGGATTGCTGGCGCGGCACGGCCATGGGGCTGCGGCTCCCGCTGCGCCGGAGCACCAGCTTCACCCCCGACCACCCTGCCCTCATGGAGGTGCCCGGCTCCACTGCGCTGAAGATGGAAGCAAACGTCCTCATTATGGGAGCAGATAACGTGGGGAAATCAGGTAAGAAGTGTCCGTGAGCTGGGAGCAGCAGGTCCAGGCACAGAGACCCCCAAAAGAGGCTGAAAACTGCAGTAGCTTTTGGAGAGCAAGCTGCAGAGAGAAGCCCTGTGGAGCAAGCTGGGGAGATGGGGCTGAGTACAGCTGTGTTTTGGGTACAGCTGTGATTCGAGGGGGGAAACTGAGCACAGCCTTGTAGGGTGAGTGATGGGGAAGGTGTTTTCCACTGAGCTGCAGTTTGCTGATGCTCTGGTTTGTGCTGTGCCTCTGCTCACAGACCTGCTGGTGGCTGGGGGAAAGCCAGGGGTCGTTTCTGCTAGTGGGAGTTTGCAGGGAAACGGTGCGTGACTGCTCTGGATTTGCAAAGGAAAATCCTTCAGGTTTAGGGTCATTCTGATGGTTGTTAACCTTCCCTCTGCAGCTCTGACTGTGCGTTTCCTGACCCGGCGCTTTATCGGGGAGTACGGAGACATGGGTGAGTGCCAGGGCATTGCCAGGCTCTTTCCCGTTAGGGATGGGGATGAGGATCTGCCCGCAGGATTTCACTGCTTCCCATCCCCTCCTGCCTTTCTCCATTGCCTTTGCCTGCTCCCCTGGGGGGCTAAATGGTTGTCTTTGTTCAGTGACCCATCTCCTTGCTCCACAACTGCTTCTCTGTGGTGCAGAAGGTCCTGGCTGGCAGCTGGTGGCACCAGTGTGCCTGGGCTGAGTGCTGGAGGCAGGCTGATATGAAGGCCACCGTGCTCCCTGGGGCTGTTGCTGCACAAAAAGAGCCCCGGGACGTGTCCTTGTGGAGCACGGTCTCCCAGTGTGGACGTGACAGGCTTGTCCCCAGGAGAAGACCTGGGTTGAGGGAGCATCTCCTGGGCCCATGAAAATGACTAACAGTCATTTTCATTTTCATTTTTCTTTGGCAGAATTCCTCTACAGCCACAATCTGACCATGGATGGCCGAGAGATTCTCTTCCACATCTGGGATGTCCCCAATTCCCAGGTGAGAGAACCCTGCTCCTGTCACCTGTTTTCATCCCAGGGGCAAAAACCCTCTACTGAAAGTTACCTATGGGGAGCCACAGGCTAGGAACTACCACTGAGCAAAGTTGCTGTGTCAGATGGTTTGTAGGTAACTGCAGAGCACGGGTCTGCAGTGTTGCTGGCAGGGTAACAATCATCACCATAGCCCATGGTCCTCTGGCTGGGTGAGGGCTTTAGAGCTGATGCACTAATATTACCAGCCCAGACTGAGCACAGAAACAAAGTGGAAGTGCTGCTCTGAGATTCCCCATGGTGTTACCACCTACAGCCTGCAGTGCTTCGCAGCTGGAATACCCCTCTTCCTTTCCTCTTTCCCCAGGAGCAGGCAGAGGAGGGCTCCTCAGAGGAGAAGCGAATCCAGTGGGCAGACAGCTTTGTCCTGGTCTACAGCATCTGCGACCGTGCCAGCTTCAACATCCTGCCTCTCAAAATCCAGTTCATCAAAGCAGCCAAGGAGGGACAGAGCCAGGAGAAGGTGCCCATCGTCATTGTGGGCAACAAGCGGGACCTGCACCACCAGCGGGTGGTGTCCAGCGAGGAGGGCCGGCTCCTGGCCCTCTCTTTAGACTGTGGTTTCTATGAGGTCTCTGCAGCTGAGGCTTATCACGGGGCCCTCATGGTCTTCCATGGACTGGCCGAGCGCATCCCTGACACCAAACTGGCACTGAAGAAGGGTACGGGGATCCGTGGCATCGTCAAGACCATGTCGGCTGTGTTTGCCCGTAAGCGAACAGACTCCCTCTGAGCTACGGCATGGATGTTGCTTCTCTCTGTGCTGGACCAAGCCTCCTCCCTTGGTGCCCATGGAGATGGTCTGTGTGTTTGCATAAGTATGATGGGTTCCTTGCTGTCCTCCTAATGCCAGGGTCTGGGTGACCTGCCATACACAGCAGTGCAGCTGAGAACTGTAGTGCCTTAGTGTTGGCTCTGTGATGGGACAGTCTCTACCCTTTGCTGTACCAGCTTTTTAGGCACCTCCTGCTTTCTCCTTCCGTCCTCCAACACTGGAAACCACGAGGTGATTCTGACACAACTCCAGGCAGCATCATTCCCAGCTCCTTCAGCAGGAGCTGTCAGTGAGCAGGGAGCTGCCTCTGCCCGGGTGCCCGGCTCCTGGTTCCCCTACTCCTACTCTGGGATCCTTATTCCTGTTTAATGTTTGTCAGGGACCTCTCTGGTACCCCTGGAGCACCCATGAGCTGGCCAGGTGGGGAGTTCTCTATCAGGAAGCCACGGGCAGTTCCCACATGTACATCACCACGTTGGGATGTCCTCATAACTGGCTGACCCCAGAGGACCTCAGTGGGACCCCATCCCACCCGCCGTGCTTTAGAACCATCCTGCTCATGGTCCTCTCTCCCACAGCCTTTCAGTGCTTGCAGCCATTTCCCCTGTGCAAGCACCGTACGGGCTGTGCCTGGGAAAAGTCAGGCGTGTGGCTTGTTCCCAGGACTGGGATTGCACCGTGTGCCTTCCCAAGCTGCTCCATCTGTAGGTCTGCCTGTCCCTGAGGAGGAAGGGAGGTGGGGAAAGGGGTCGCTGGGCTCATCGCCGAACCCTTCAGCTGCTGGGAGGCTTTTCCCTGCCTCTCCCCAAGCCCCTTCCCCTGGGAAGGCAGCGTGTCGGGACAGGGTCTGTGTGTGCAGTGCAGACACTGGTGTCTGCTGTGAGATGCAATAAATTGGTTTTGGCAGGAAGCCCCCGGCTCCTTGGGGCTGTGAATTTGTACTTGGAGCATGGGAAGAGACACGTAGTGTGCTGGGCATGAGCACCCGCCACCGCTGCTGCTGTGAGGATAAGTTTCCCTTGGCCCTGGGTTGGGTGTCTCACCCCACTCTGCTCCCTCATTTTGCAGGCTCACGCTATTAAAGCGGACGAGCGGCAGGTCGGGAAGGTTTATTATTTCAGCGGATGCAATGACGTGTTGTGGGAAGCCAGGGGTCCTGTGGGAGAGAGGGGTTCCATTTGTTCTCACTGATCTTCTTTCTGAGCCCACCATCTCTGGGGGGGGGGTGCACAGGGCTTTCCGACTCATGAGTCTTCCTGGTCAGTGGGGACCTTCATGGAGGAGCAATCTGTGGCCAAGGGATGAGCCCTGCAAAGGGGGACGGAGGAAGGAGGGATGGGAACCAGGTTTGTATGGTGATGTTTGGTGGCTTTGCTGTTCTTGCTCTGTTTCAGTTTCAACATGTAGACTGTCTTAAGTCCACACCATCTGCTTAACCAGGACCAGGTCAGAGCAGTGCCAGACCCGACTGGTCCGTTTTTTATGGTCTCACTGCTCTTTTTGCATCTCCTTCAGCTTTCTGATCCCACCTCCCCCTTCCTTCTCCTTCCACCAACAGGGCTTTTGGCTGCCGTTATTCCCCCACCCTGGCCCCAGTACACTCCATGGCACATCTACCACTTCGAGCTCCCATCCCACTACAGGGGTGTGTGCAGGAGGCTGGCAGGGGCCCGCGAAGCGTGCTGGGGAGGAGGGTGGATTAGCGCAGGGCTGGAATGCGCTCATCCTCCCCATGGCTCAGTCCTTCTTGAAGGCAGGACTGTAGAGGCCGGTGTAGTAGGGCCGGCTGTACATGGGCTCGGGGCTGAAGCGGTAGGAGCCCTCGCTCACGCGCCTGCTGTAGGGGGAGAAGGCGGATTTCCGCGGGAGGGGACACTCGGGCTCGAAGGCAGGGCTGCGGTAGAGGTTGTGCCGCAGGAACAGGGGGTCCTCCAGCCCCAGGAAGGAGAGGGGGTGATGGCCGCGGTACAGCCGCCAGTCCCCTCTCAGCTGGGCTTTCTCCTCAGCAGGGGGGGTGGCAGGCTTGGCCTCCTCCTCCTCCTTCTGCTCCTTCTCTGCGCTGGGCTTGCTGCTCCCGGCTGCATCCTCTTCCTTTGCTGACTGCCTGCGGAGCTGAGAGATGGGGTGAGCACACAGCTAGGCTGTGCCTGCCAGCCCTGCTCTGCCCGCCCTGGAACCGGGGAGCCTCAGGACAAGCCAGTTTGCCCCCAGAGGGGTCTGCAGTGGAGGGGAGCAGGCAGCTGTGGTGGAGAGATGGTCCCAGGGGGAGCAGTGGGGTGGAGGAATCAGAGAATGGTTTGGGTTGGAAAGGACCATCCAGTTCCAACCCACTGCCATGGGCAGGGACACCTCACACTAGACCATGTTCCCCAAGGCTCTGTGCAACCTGACCTTGAGCACTGCCATGGATGGAGCAGGAAAGGAAAGGGGACACAGTCTCAGCCTGAACTTCCCAGGAATCTGTGGTCCCACCCTGGCTTGGGCATGAACCGTGTGAAGGTGCCATCATTGGCCAACCTGCTGGCTCTATGGGGGACTCACGGTCACAGCCTGGGAGATGCTCAGAAGAGTGGGACTGAGGTGTCCTGACAGCAACCCCATCTCCCTGCTCCGGTACCTGCTGGAGCTCTGGGAGGACGTTGGACAAGATGGGGTTTGCTGGAGATGGATGGTTCAGACTCACCGGGACGTAGCTGTACAGGGTGCCCAGCAGATGCTTGGGGGCACTGACAAGGGTCCCCCCAAGAGCATCCACCGTCTCCATGGCCTTGGACAGCCTGCGGGGGGTGAAGAGGATCAACCCCTCTGCTGCATCCCAGGCCACCGCCGGGACCTTCTTCACGCTGGAGATGCCAGAGGCGCAGGCGGATTGCAGGTTGTGAGCCACGCTGCCCACCAGCCCGGGCTCATCCCCTGCCTGTGGGAGCAACCAGCTCAGACACCGGCCCCTCCGGGCAAGCAGGGGTGTCCCTGTGCTCCCATCCCCTCTGCAGCAGGGTCGCTCCATGTATCCCCCACTCCCCGGCCCCCAGGGACCCTCTGCCCTGGGCTGTGCTTCCGCTGCAGGCAGAGGTGAAGGGCAGTGACCCCAACCTGCTGCTTCCCGTCCCCATGTCCCAGCGGAGCTGCTGCTGGGGACCGTTCCCAGCCCCGCTGGCTCACACCATCCCTTGCTGTAGGGACGATGGAGGGGGAGTCTCGAGTGCAGGAGGGAGCTCGGTGCTGACACCCTACAGCAGCAAAAGAGTCTTGAATATACAAGGAATATACAAGCAGCAAAGGAGCCTTGAGGATTCAGGGAAGGGGAAGCTGCTTGGGCTGTTCCAACTTCCCTTCACCTCCTCCAAGCTGCAGTTCAGCAGGGATGAGAGCCTTGTCCCAAGGGTACGGTGGGAACATCCCCCTTGCTGGCATGGTCCACGGGCAGGAGGATGCTTTGGGGCACCCCTACCTCACTGCTCCCCCTTTCTCCATACCTCCTTGCTGTGGTGGTTGTCTTTCTTCCCTGCCTTCTCCTGCTTCTGCTCTGGCACCTTGCTTTGCCGCTGGCTCAGCCGGTTGGTTGTGGTGCTGCGCCCATCACCATGGGCCTGTGGTGCCTCAGGTACACTTGGCTTGGCCAGGCTGCCCTGGAAGAGGAGCAAAACTCCACTGCTCAGAGGGAGCTGGTAGGTTCCATCCTGCTTATCCTGAGAGTTTCGGGGGGGGGGGGGTCTGGGGTGTTCAGGGACTAGGAGGGTCATTGGTGCACATGAGGGCAACAGGGAGTGCTGGGGTATTGGCACAGGCCAGGGAAGGGGATCCCATGGCAGCACTTGGTGTGAGAGGAGAGGCACCTCCTTTACCCCATCCTCTCTGGGTCCCTGCAGGGGCTTTCTGCTTTAGGAACTATGTTATGGCAAGGCCATAAATCAACAGTGTACACTGCGAGCTGGCTAAAAATAACTTGTCCTGCTAACACAGCACAGTGTGTGTGAATGCACTGCGGGAACCGCCGGCCCTGGCTCCTCCTGCTGAAACAGCAGTATCCACCCCCTGCTCTAGGATGTGCTTCAAGGAGCCTGAAATGTCCCATCTGAAACCAGAATCAGCCCAAAAGAGGGTACGGGGGAGCAGGAACCCAGCACTCACCACGATGGGGATCCACGTGGCCAGCTCCTGCCCTTTGGCTTTGGCACGCTGGAGGCCATGGGTGGTTTGCTGGTAAGCACGGTGGGAGGCAGTGCTAACCAAGGTGCCAATTCTGCCCAGGGTGCTGGGAGCGCTGGGCTGCTGCTGGGACACCTTTGCTGCTGACCCACGTGGATCTTTGGGCTTCTGATCTAAAGTCAGAAGAGAACTGGATGGGGTTACATCCTGGTGGAACAACGCTCCTAAGCAACCCTATGACAAAACCCAGGGACTTCCTCCTGCCACACGGACCCAGCCCTTGCCAGACACCCTCAGGGTGGATTAGGGCATCAGGACTACCTGGTTCTTCATCCTCCTCCGGCAGCAGGTACTCCATCAGCTTCTCCAGCCCTCCCAGGGCCGTGTCGACCCCGGCGGCTGCCATCTGGCTCACAGAGTTCCTCCTCGTGTACTTGGCTGTTGTCTCCACCGTGCTCTTGGTGGCCTCATAGCCCTCTGCTGCCAGCTCCATGATCTTATCCATGGAGTTGCCAATGGTGCTTTTGGCGCTTTGGAGAGGGGTGGAGATGGTGCCCTTCAGTTCAGATGCGAGCTGCGGGTGGAGAGATGGACAACAGCCCTACTGGGGTGTGCTTGGGGTAGATGGGACAGCCAGAGGGACCACAGGGACCTCAGCCATGGCCATGCCAGTGGGTAGCTCTGAGAGGGGCATTAACAGCTCTCTCCAGTTAGGGCTGGAGGTAGCTGGCAGGAATGGGACATAAGATGCTGTTGATGTAGATTTGGGAGTACCCCAACTGGTTGGAGCATCCCCTGTGCTGCAGGAGCCCTTGTTTGGAGGTGCTGCCTTGTTTCCCCCTCCATCGCCATCCAGAAGCAAGCCTAGAGCAGACATGCTGTGGGCTTAGTAGAAGGCTGGTGGGTCCCAGACTGTGCTATGCCCTACCTTGTCAACGGGGTAGTGGAGGGCAGGGATCTTCTCCTCCAGGTGGTCCAAGCCCCGGCACGCCAGGTTGTTTGCCACAGCAACTGCCTTGGGCAAAAGCATGGGGTGTGTTGGTGAGGAAAGCACCGGGGCCATGCCAAGCACATGCCAGTGCCAGCGCAGTCCCATCACGGTGGGTTCATCCCTGCTGTGTCCCCCCCCCTGCACTCACACTGGGGCTCCAGCCTGCGCACCACCGGCTCCACGCTCCACATGGCCAAGGCGCTGGCACCCTGCACGCCCCGCTCATAGACCTCGCACACGGAGGCCATGAGCGGATGGGCCTCCTTGGTGGTGGTGTAGGTCCGCTGCAGGCTTTCGCAGGTTGAGCTCACCACCGGCAGCTGCAGCACCCTCTGCAGCACGTTCTCCTGTGGGTGGCAGATGGGCACTGGTTACCAGCAGCCCTTCTCTGAGGAGCACCCCGTCATCCACACACCAGGGACATTGGTGTGGTGCAGTGACCACAGAGGATGCTGAAGGAGGAGGAGGAGGGCATTTCTTGAGCCACACCGAGCGTCTCGGCACAGCCATGGACCAGCAGGCTGGCTGGGATGCCACAGGCAGCGTCCCCGCATCTCATGCTCCCTTCGGCTTTCTGCTGCTTCTTCCATCTGACCCACCCCTTGCTCCTGTCCTTGGATCAGCAAAGACCAGTGCCTATGTGGTTACCTCTGTCCTGTCTGCCTCATCACCACTGTGACAAGTAAGGTAAATGGACCTCAAAAAGGAGAAGGGGAGAGGAACAGGTCTATCCCTGAGGGCATGTGTCTTCATAGGAGCCCTTGATGTGAGAAGAGGGCACCAGAGCTTTCTGAGGAAGCCAGGCACTGCATCCTGCTAGCAAGGGTGATGGGGGATGCCACGTGTGCTGCCAGTGCCAGGGCATGGCTGGAGGTAGGTCCCTCTTAGCTGGGTGAGCAGGATAAACCTGCAGCTCCAACCCTCTGTTCCTGCTCTCACCCAGTGCCCGCTTGGTGAGCTGAGACAACAGAGAGAGGGGCTGCAACCCCAAGGGAGGACTGGGGTGAACACTGGCTCATGCAGCAATCAGGAGGCAAGAGCTCTCTTGGAGCAGGAAGCTCAGCTGGCTTTGCTGGAGGCTTGGGGTCCACAGTGGGGACACAGATGAGGGACAGGCAGTGCTGTCAGGCACCACCAAGGGTTAACTTCCTTGATTCTGAACTATTTAATTTCAAGCAGTCAAAATGTTTTATCCTTTCCCTTTGCTGATGCTCTATGTTATTGCAGGTAAAGTTCTGTATAAAGAGGTGAGCACATGGGACAGCGTGAGATGTGACTTGCATTCATCTGGCCAAGCTGGTACGTGCTGCCCAGCACCCTCTGCCCTCCCCTCTCTTACTGCACCCACCTTGGCACTTCCATTCTGCAGAGTCTGGTTCTTCTTGGCTGTCATCGTGACTCACCCACCTGCAAAGCAAAGCCGGGAGCCTCAGACCCTGCTCTGAGGGCAGGACTGGGTTTGGGCTTCCCCCAGTCGCTCCTGCACCCCCCCGAGCACGGCAGGGCCGGGAGCTGGGCTGAGGCATCTCCCGTGGGTGCAATAGATGCAGCATTGCCTAATGCTTGACTTGTTACCAGTTCAGCTGCAAAACCAATGTCTCCACGCAGCCCTGCCCTGCTTGTGTGTCTTAACACCCAAAAGATGCAAAGTATTAGTTGAGAGGCATCTAGTGTGGAGGAGCTACAGGCAGGATAAATGTCACCACTGTAAAGCAAGCTTGGAGCAACCAGAATGCTAACAGACGTGCATGGAGGCTGGGAGATGCAGGCTGGGAAGGGACAAGGCAGCAGGATGGGAGCAGAAAGAGGAGCTGCAGGTAGGGATGTGGTGATGTGACTGTACATCCCCCTCCTGAACATCTGCAGCTCTGCAACTCGCAATGCCAGTGCTTATCCCTGTGCAGCCCCAGCTCCATCCAGTGGGCAAAATCACTGCAAAACACCCATCTCCAATGCTCCCGGTGGGCGCCAGCACAAAGCACAGCTCCAGCTCCCAGCCATGGGTTCCCTTTCCTTAGCAGCAGATGACATTCAGGAGGTTTAGGGATAGCAGCTGATCTCCCCATCCCAGTGAAGCTGTCCCGGTGGGACACACTACTCACCGAGGGGCAGCCCGTCTCCAGCAGAGCAGGAGCAGAGGGTGCTGGCTGCACCGTCCCTTCACCCTGGTCCTCTGAGAGTGATGCACTGAGTGCCCCAGCCACTACCACCACCAGGCCCCACCTCCTGGTTGCGTGGGGTTTGGGAGCTGGAGCCTTGCAGTGGAAAGTGGCCAAAGAGCTCCATGAAATCACTGTAATTTGGAACAAATGATGGCAGAAAATCCCCTTTGTTGTCCTCCCTGCAACGCTGGGGCCCAGCTGGGATGCGCCAGAGTTTAATGCGGCTCCATCAAGAGAAGATGAGAAGAAGCTGCCCTTGGACCTCACCACCTCAAAAGCAACAGATGAGCAGCCAGGGAGAAGGTGAAGAGTCAGGCAGGGTTTCCACAGAGGTTAAACCCTTCCTGTGTTTCTGTAGCCCCTGTTACACCCTGTGGTGGAGCAGGATCCTGCCCTGTTGGGAAATGCAACACAGACCAAGAACATAGTTTCTCCCCAGGTGAGTTCACTAAGCACAAGGAGCAGAAGGTGGACATGGGGGACACATCCTGCATAGACCAGTCTGGTTTGGGCAAGTCCAAGGAAGGGAATTCATTGAGGGTTTTGGTGAGGAGGCTTTTAGGTGGGTCCTAGGTCAGACACTGCATTAGGAAAACTCCAGGTGTTTGGAGTAGACAGACATGAAGGAAAAAAATCAGGTTGGAAGTGGAGGCCACCTCATTCAGCTCTTGTTCAAAGCTAGACCAGGCTGCTCAAGGTCTTGTCCAGTCCTGAAATCTCCAAGGATAAGATCTCCATCTCTCTGGGGCCCAGTTGCTGTGCTAACCATACTCATTTTTCCTTATATCCAGACGGAATTTCCTCTGTTGCAGTTTGTGCCTGCCATCTCTTACCCTGGCTCTGTGCACCCCTGAGCAGAGCTTGGGCTCCAGTCTCTGCTGGTTCAGCATGTGCTCTGTGTGCCTAATGCCTTACCCTCACAGTGATCCTCTGCTGGAGTCAAGATCTCCCCTGTGCTGATGGGGCCAAAACGGGAGAGGGATCCCCAGATGTGCTTCAAAGAGAGGAACAACTGCTCCCCCTGACCTGCTACAATGATCCCACTGCTTCTACTCCCTGCCAAGGGGATCAGTGCAGATGATCCAAGGCTGACACAAGGCTGCTCTGTGTCCTGGACCAGCCACCATGAGGCAGGGAGATGCTTGGCATGCTGCTCAGCATCGGGGAGGGCAGGCAGCAGAGCCAAGTCCTTGAACACCCCCTGTGCAGGACACAGAGGCACGCACCCAACATAGCTCCATGGCTCCCTTGAACATGAAGGTGGGACATTTCCAGTGCATGGGAGGAAAATACCCCTTTTCCTCCCAAAGAGCCTCAAGTTTGCCTCCAGCCCAGGGCTCTGCCAAGCTGGGCACAGAGGTGAGTGGCTGTCCTGGGCTGTCTCCAGCTCAGCAGTCACTGCTCTCCAGACAGCGGGACAAAGGGCAGCAAACGTTTGCTCTCTTGGCACTGGGACTTTTTCCATCCCTGCTGGCCTTGCTCACAGTGCAGGGGGCATGCCAACCTTCCCTCTGCCTTGGCTGGAGCCGGGATCGATGTAGCCTTTGCCCTACTAATGCCTTTGCTCATCCCCTCCCCTTCCTCCAGGGCAAAGGCTGTGCCAGCCCTGGCTCTGCAGTGCAAAGGTACCATCACCTCCACCTCGAAACACGTTGTGTTTCTGCAGGCAATAGCAAGAGCTCACCACATCAGCTGGGTGCAGGGAAGCTGTTTTATACCCTTGTCTCTGCAGCCTGCTCCATACCCATCTATACGCTATGGCCAGATCCCCACAGACCTGCAAGGGTCTGCAACTTTACACTTGGGTCTGGAGGGGTAACTAATTCATTTCCATGCCCTATGGCAGTATCGGCACCCCCTAAACCACTGCTGGTAGATGTCAGTCCAGTTTCTTCTTCAGGACTGCCTTCCTGGGCAATCCATTTAGTCTTTTTCAGTTCAAAAAGAAGTGTGGCTTAATTCTCCCTTGCTGCAATATGAATGTATTGCCTCCTGGATGGACTTAAAAGACCAATTTATTGCCTTCTTCTTGACACCCTTTTAGACACTTGAAGCCTTCTCACACCCTCCCACAGTCACCTTTCCTTTACAGAACTGGTTCATTTGGTCTCTCCCTGGAGATGTTGGTTTTTAGACCTTGGATCCTTCTTGCCACTCATCTGGGAATCCCAAATGGCTCACTCATGTCTTGAGATACCACACCAAGCATGGTATTAACATTAGAAATCTGTAAGTAGATTACTTTGCAAATCTCACAAAGGCCATTCTCCTGTCAACTGTTTCCATTACACAGTGTTATAGAGATCAGTAATTCAGAAGGAAACGCTTGCTCAAACACTGCTGAATGCCATGCTTTGTACATTGTTCAGGAACTGACATTTTGGAGCTTCCAAGTTTGCACGACTCTCACTGCAGGGAACAGGAGCTAACAGTATGCTTCGTTTTAATGCTTCGTTTTAATGTTATGCTGGCTCCATCCCTCACCACCTCATCTGGACATGTCACCCTTCACTCCCTGCTCTGAACAGGCATTTGGTGTTGAACAACTGCAGATCCACCCCAATGGAAAGCTGTTTATAAGATACCAAAATGCAGGTGCAGCCATTCCTTTCACTGTAGCTAGGCACAAGGCTCCAGCTCTCACTGCTGGTACTGAAGGGCAACTGATAGCACTTTGTTTCAGGGCATTTCATATATGCAGTTTTACCTAGTACCCATGTAGTTACTGCTTCGTGTTTCTGCAACTGAAATGAGGATTGTAAATTAGTCTGAAGGATCTGGCTGCCACCTTGCTATGGCAAAAAGAAATCTCTATAACCCAGGTGAAACTATAGGCAGTATCCTTCCCCATAAAGTTCAGAGATGGAGGGAGGATTCCTCCTTCCATCACTTTATGCCACCATATAAGTTACATACACAGACGCAGTGTCAGGCTCATCTCAGTTTATTGCTTGTGTTCAAGCAGCTGTCCTTATTCCAACTGCTGTATTAGATACAAAAATAAGGCACTAAAAGGATTTTCTCCACATGATTGTGATTCTATGGCTTCAGTCACATTATGTTAAAGTACATCAAATTGCTACCCTCCAGCTAGGGAGCAGAAGGCAACTATTAGCGCTTAACATCCAGTAAAGAGAGTTACTCCTGCATGTTCCAACCCACATCATGAAGAATGGGACAGGTAAGGCTGAGAGGCTGAAAACTCCCTGCCCCATCTCCCACATTAAGTCTGTACTTGCCAGTGCAAGCCAGCCCCTACAGGAGAAATATCAAAGCCTGGCTCAGGGCTTTGCATAGTGTTTGCCTGGCACAGGGGAAAAACACCCTTCTGCCTCCACAGGGCACAGGGAGGCGTAGCTGCCTTGGGGCCACAGCACTATTCAGTACCAATTTCCCTTTACCTACAGGTAAAGTACAAGAGAAAAAGAGAAATGAGTTCACAAACCAGTGAAAGAAGTGGTTTGTATCTGAGAGCTCCCTGAGAAGAATTCAAAATACATTATTTTTTTTTGCAAGAAGATGAAATTCTGTAGACAAAAGGTGGCCAAACCTCTGCTTCCAGATCATCAAAACTGCTCTTCCTTCCTCACAGGGGTTGCTACTCACTGGATAACGATCAAATCTGACCAAGGGAGGGATGGGCTCCACACTGCTGGGAGCTGTAAGGCAAAAGGAGCAAAGCAGCAAAAAATATTCCATTGTTATAAAGGAGAGGAAGTCCTTGAAGACAACATATCCCATACACAATGCTCCACTATAGTCTGAACTGCCAGCATGCTCTACTTTTAATGGTATTAATTTCCATACTAAAAAGAAGAGCTGCTGCAGGCCACATCTGGTCTTCAGGCACACTTATCCTGCCCAGCAACCTGCGTTTTTAAAACACTTCACTGGCAGGCTAACACTTCAGATTCAAACTCGAAGTAATTCCAAGTCTGACCACAGTGATTTAACTGGGCTCTGCCCTACTGCGCCTACTCAATTCCAGAGCTTTTGCTTTTTAATAAAGGGGGACCAGCACCTTTTAATTTCTGTTTTCAGACAGCATCAGATATAATAAGAAAGTACCTTGGTCCAGGTTAGAGTAGCCTCTGTGCACATCTCCTGACGGGTTAAACAAGGAGTCCTCATACCAGAAAGTAGCAGAACACACAGACCTAACTCTGATGAAGAATAATGATCATTTTATCTCCTAGATAATGTGCAGATTTCCTCATATGGTGTCAGAACTGGTATCTGCAAAGTCAGGAGCAACAAGCACTTCATGCCACATTAGACAGCTGGACACAGCATTTCTCTTTTAACTCAGATGACACTGCCAGGCAACCATTCCCAGTGAGGGAATTAATGAATAATAATACAGTTGCAGGGCAAACATAAGGCATTTCAAATGGTAGAACCCATTCAACCAGGGGGGTAACACACAAGAAACCTTGTGGTCATGAGAGAGGAGGGGAGGGAGGACCAGACAGGAAAATCTAACCCATGAATGCCCAAATCCAGTTATAAGCTTCAGCTCTCACAGGGGATTTTGGTATTATCATGACCAACTCCACTCCCTTCCCTCTGGGAGCTTACACAACTAGAAACACTCCCTTGCAGTTTTCCTGACTCAACAAGCTCTAAGCCAGGCTCAACTCCTCAACTGCATGTTCCAAAGCTCCTCATTATACTGGGACTTTTCACATAAAATTAAAACAGCAAAACAAGCTCCTTATCACAATATGATTAATGGAAAATTGTTGCACTCACAGTCACAGGGGTTTGGGAGTTAAGGTGCATGTATTAGGATATTTAGTGCTTGTGAGTGGTTTCAGATTCACAGCTTTGGAAACCCAGTTCCTGACAAATCACAGCATCATCAGCACTCAGACAAGCACTCATGAGTCCTTCACCAAAACCCACAGCCATGGGCTGCTGGAGAAGTCAGAGCCGGTGGCCAATGGTCCTTGGCTCACATCACTGAAGGAAAAGAGCACAGTGCTAATTTCTTGGGACACTGGCACTCACTAGACTACAGATCCAGTGTCATCAGTGCATGTGACAGAGATCATATCACTCTTGAGTTACCATCACACTGCATTCAAACCACTACCTACCACAGCAGGATCCAGCAACCCAAACCCATCAGAACACCTGTACTTGAGTTCGGGCCATTTTAACAACAGCACCTAACTTGCCTGAGCCCACTATAGAAAACCTGACTGTAGGGACCTTTGAACAGGGAATTCCAGCTTTCCAGTGTAAACACGATTAGTTATGAGTCATATACCTATTGCAGCTGTCTAAGCAGCTATTTCACAACCCTGTATTAAAATATAGGAACATCAATATTTCCTTATCTAGCAGCCATGTCCTGTTTATGCCTTCTCCCATCTCCACTTATTCCATCAGGGAGTGTGTCATGGCACCAAACTCATCTGCAAAGACACAGGGAAGAATAAAGGGTAGAAATCACTTATTCAGAGGACAAAATTAATCTTGAGGTTACTGTGAGACAGGTCCATTTTGAAAGTGCCATATGGAGGATAAAAACCTATCAGAGGACCAAAGGCGTTGGCTTGCTGCATACTATACATATATCCTTTCATGTCACTGTTTCAGCTTCAGATGTGGGCTGGCTAATGTGAGGATCCCCACCAGGGAGGAGAGGACACCACAAAAACCAATCACTCCTGGGTTGGTCTTGTAGATCCCTAGCGTATCCAAAGGACCTGAGAGATCACAGAGATTCTTCACCAAGTCCAGCAGCAAAGGAGGATGCTTCTTCAGTATCTGAAACAGCAGGAGGAGAAAACCATGCACACCATCACTTTTCACACTGTTAAGTTCCTGACTGTGTTTGTCCCAGCACGAGTTCTCCTTTATCTTTTCTTCCTGTATAGCTTGTTCCAGCCTCCAGGAGATCTCATACCAGTCCCTGCCTAGATTCATCAAGAGCGAAATGTAGTAGC